AACTTGACCAAAAGTTCCTGGTTAAAGTTGTTTAAAACACATAATAGTGAGGTGTTTGGGGTTTTTATTTTTGTTTTGCTCTAAATATCTAAACTGCAAAGATTGAAACTCCAGACCCTGCAATCACCTAGTTTTTTTCTTACATTATACAATTAAATTATGTTATACATCTTAGTTAAAAAGAAAACTATTTTCTCAGTGGATTTAATCATGAGTTGGGGAGATTTGGATCTAGATATTCTAGTGTCCCGTGTTTTGGTCCCCCTTTTCTGAGATCTACTATGAGAGGTATAGGCTGGACATAAGATGGTTACCTGACCTGTGGCAGTTTCTTTGTTCCCAGAGCTGCCTTGGAAGGTTGGATTTTTCTGTAAGCACTAGAGCCATTATGGTTTGGATAATGTCTCCTTCGAAATATGGACACTCTTATCAGTTAATAAAAAACCAAGCAAACAAAAAAACAAAAGTACTCCATGTCAGTGTTTGTAGACCATATGTTTCACAGGGCCTGTTGTGGTTTCTGTTTCTCCTTGATGTGTATCTGCCTGCTAACGTGAAAGCTGTGGACATGAGTCTATATGCAGTACCAAGTTATTTTCTTCCTCTTTCTTTTTCTTTCTTATGTTTCCTCAAAAAAATTTTAACTGCTTTCTTGCCTTGAGATATAAATTCCACATTCTGGTTGCATTAGATACTAAGTCTTCTGAGGAAAGGCTTAAATTTATTGGGCTAGTTCACAGTGTTGTCATAAAGAGCTTTAGTTTGGGGCATGGAGCCATATGTGATTAGGATTGTTAAGCTAAATAATGTAAAAGAATCAACATTACATTGTTTACAGAAACTTGGGCTATGCCTGTTACTTCAGTAATTATCATACCTGATTTACAAGCATGGTCCATGATAGAGTGGGAGGTCAAATGGACTTTTCTGCAGTTTTGCCCTCTTGATGGTGCCTGTGAGTCAGTGAGAAACAAAGGGGTGCTTCCAGGGCAGAGGAGCCTCCAGGAAGCTGGCTATACTTGGGAATTGTTCTCCATCACCCTCCTAGAATCTGGCTTCTCAACAGCATTAAAGAGCAGCAAGTGACTAACAGGTTGGATCACAAACAGAGCTTTGCATGGGATTGAATCTTACTAGTGAGGGGAGGCTTGATTTGGTTGTTTCTGAAAATTATACTCACATTTTCTATATTTACTCCAAAGAGGGGAAACAACATATGATTTTTAAAAGTAATCATGCTTTATCCGTGTCTAACTTAGATGCACTTATGATTTTATATTTATGTGTGTGTATATGCAAAATCTATCTGTAGATACACACATATATGTAACATATACATGTATAAGTACATGTACTGACACTGATGTAATAAATGTAAACTGCTGGCAGCAAAAAGCAGCGTATCACAGTTCACTGCAGAACATTAATTTCCAGATGTTTGCGTTTCATGGACTAGGAATATAAAAAATAGAAAATAAATTGGAGGATCCAGCAGGGTTACCAATTTCATGTTTTCCAAGATCATTAAAACATTTTTTGTGTGTGTGCTGCATGTTAACTAGACTATTGTGATAGTCGTTTCACAATACAGTTGATCCCTGAACAACACATGCACATGGATTTTTTCAATAAATACTGTAAATGCATTTTCTCTCCCTTATCTTTCTTTTCTTTTTTAAAAATTGTTGTTCAAGTACTTGTCTCCATTTTTCTGATGCCACTTTTTCCCTCCTTATCCCCCACCTCCCACCCTCAATCCTTCCCCTTTAGCTTTATTCCTGGGTCCTTTATACATGTTCTTTGTTGATCTTTCCCCTACTTTGCCCCATTATCTCCCTCCCACCTCCCCTCTAGTTACTGTCAGTTTGTTCTTTATTTCAATGTCTCTGGTTATATTTTGCTTGCTTGCTTGTTTTGTTGATTAGGTTTTACTTATAAGTGAGATCATATGGTATTTGCCTTTCACTGCCTGGCTTATTTCACTTAGCATAATGCTCTCCAGTTCCATCCATGCTGTTGCAAAGGGTAGGAGCTTGTTCTTTCTTTCTGCTGCATAGTTTGCCATTGTGTAAATAGTCCTGTTTTTTTAAAGATTTTATTTATTTTTAGAGGGAAAGGGAAGGAGAAAGAGAGGGAGAGAAACATTAATGTGTGGTTGCCTCTCAAGTGTCCCTAAATGGGGATCTAGTCTGTAACCCAGGCATGTGCCCTAACTGGGAATCAAACTGGCAACCCCTTGGTTCACAGGCCCATGCTCAATCCACTGAGCTACACCTGCCAGTCATACCATAATTTTTGATGCATTCATTTATTGACGGGTACTTAGGTTGCTTCCAGCACTTGGCTATTGTAAATTGTGCTGCTATGAACATTGGCATGCATAGATTCTTTTGAATTGGTGTTTTGGGATTCTTGGAGTATGATTTTGTTAATAATGTTTTCTTTTCTCTAGTTTATTGTAAGAATACAGTATGTAATACATATAACATACAATATATGTGTTAATTATTTATGTTATTGGCAAGGCTTCCAGTCAACAGTAATTAGTAATTACTAATTGCTATTAGTAATGAAGTTTGGAGGAGTCAAAGGTTATACATGGAGATCAATTGTCATTCAAATACTGAATCATTATTTTGTACACTTGAAATGAATGTTTTATGTCAATTATATCTTAATAAAATTTATAAAAATTTGCAATAAAATGCACATCATATAAAGTTTACTATCCTAATAACCATTCTTAAGTGTACAGCTTAACAATGTTATATACATTCACATTGTACAATTCAAGATCATTTTGCAAGAAAATAAAAAGGAGGGGGTGAGACAGAAGGACTCCATCTACTGTCCTCATCATTTCATAAAAGAAAGAGCATTTTCATACCAAAAGGAAAACAAGGCTGCCATAATAGATCTGAGAAATTCCTCCCTAACCTGTAGTAGAATGGTACAGAGAAAAATGATCATCCAGGGAAAAATAATAGTACAGAAAAAAAACATAGCAAGGAATTCTGTACAGTCATTACTCAGATTTTTTAAAATGCTAACTTTTTGTCCTCTTTGCTCCTGGTCATTACTGCTTAAAGTGACTATAATGAACTGTGTGTTACCAGGCCATGAAGACACAAAAGAGCTTATGCTAGAATGAATGAAATTGCATGTCTGCACCACTAGACATGCAATTCAGTAGCTGATACTTTTTCACAGCAAGATTTTGTTGGTGAAGGAAGCAGTGTGTTGATTTACCTTCTGGCTTTTGCATCTTACATCAGTGGTCCAAGTGCCAATAGCAAGCAAGTCACATAATGGCATGGTCAGCAACCATGTTCTAGATCTCACTGTGTTTTTATAGAAGTAAAAGTTACAGTTGCTACCCTCATATATTCATTGTGATGTGATCACATTCTTTTCTCTTTCTCTCCAAAATTAACTAGTGCACTGAAGTTGGTTTGTATTCTCCCAGTTCATACTATTCTGCACAAGCCCATTAGAATATGTAGTGTTGTTTTGTGTAAATGAAACCCTGTTTTATATAGCCTTCTGAAATTTAATTTGGCTCACATAGCATGATTTTAAAGACTTACCATTTTGATACATGTATATCTACTTTTACAGTATTGCTTTTTCTGACTATACCATATTATATCTATCTGTACTCTTTTCAGTGGACCTTTAGATTGTTTCTAGGTTGTTGCTAATATAAACAACAATGCAGTGCACAATCCCATGAGCCTTTCCTGTGCACACAAGTGTGAATTTATCTAGGGGAGTTACCTGGGAGGAGAGTCAAAGTGAAGTGATACCTTCAGTCACAAAGTCAAATTAGCATGTTAACCAAACTAGTTGTTTCATACAGCTTTTCAGGTAAATGGTGAGTGGGAAAGATAATATTGTAAGTCAACCATCAATAAAATTGGTTTTCTGGACCAAACTCAGAGTTTCTGATTGTTGATCTATCTAAAGATTTAGTTCCAAGTCTGTCTGTAATATAGAGATGATGCAACAGGTTGGTTACACTGACTTTTCTTTGTCTTTGTATGTGGGGCAGGGACCAATCAGGAAAAGCCAGCCCTTCATTAAGTTTTCCCCTTTGCTTGTGAACTAGAAAATATTTACAGTCGTGGTCTGGGAGGCAGATGAAACTGGGTGTTGCTGTCTCTTGGGCCTTGTTACAAATAGCTTTTTTTGGCCCAAGAAAATGCCATGGGTCAAAACCCGTTTCTCAGCAGGCCTTTCTGGAGTGGCTGTGCTGTTGCTCAGAGTGTTAGGTGATCTAGGTTTCTTTTGACCATCTAGTCTATTGTTTCTTTGGACAATTTGAAGAGATAGGGAGGGGAGAAGTAGACTCAGATTCCTTGGGATTGGATGTCAGAGGCATGTCCCCAGATAATCTGGAGAGAGTCTGAGAGGGTTACCATGGCTAGTGTCCCTATCAGCCACCTATTTAGCCACCATCAGCCTCATAAAAGCACTTGGAGTTTTGGCTATGGATGAGTCAAGCACATTCTCAAAAAATAAACTGATAATTGAGATGACATCTAAATGTGCTTAATGTACTTTATTCACAGCCTCTCTTTTATCTATAGTAAATAGTAAAGTGTTTTGATCATTTTTAAAAAAACAGTAAATGGGAACACAACTTGGTAAGAAAAAGCTATAGAGACATTAAAGAAAAAAATAAGACTAACAGCCTTTTCATTTTGGGCTATCAAGTCTGTTAGCTGACCATTCCTAAATACCACATGACAAAACTGAGTTAATGCGGAGGCAGGGAGTGGTCTGAGAGAGATCACACATACAACTAATCTGTGTTAATGATGCAGGTGCCTCAGTGATTAACATTTTGTGTGTAATTTGGTGCATCAGAACCACTGTGGTCACCAGGTTATCAGAGAAAAGCTTTTTCAGTGGTTGCTGTTTGTGAAGTAATTGGTGTTTTGTGTATACAGGCACATGTTTATATCTGCAAAATATTTTTTTTTACTTTTGATAATCAGTTGTCAAAGCTTGAAAAACAACAGCAGAGGAAAGAAAAGACCAGAGCCAAAGGGCCTTCTGAATCAAGCAAAGAAAGAAATGTTCCTCGCAAAGAAGACCGCAGTGCCAGCAGTGGGGCTGAGGGTGATGTGTCTTCTGAACGGGAACCATAGACTTCAGGAATGGAACTCAGGTAGGAGGGTCTCTTCCCTGCATGGCTCCATCTTCTTCCCATATTTTGGGCAACCAACAATGAATAGAGAACAGAATGGCTTTTGATGTTGAATTCATTTTATGGACACTCATCTATTGCTTCCTTCAATTCACTGACTTAGAAGATGGAGAGAAAAGTCAAAATGTGGAAGAGGCAGATACCCATGGCCTGGGGTATTCACCTAGGAGGTTCTGTGTATTTTATGTTCTTCAGTTGCCTATGTCCGTGGACAGCTGCTACTATTATTAGCATTTATAGAGTGTTCACAGATCCAGAATCTAGACAGGAGCTTCACATGAGTTCTTGCCATTGGTCCCTCCTCTCCATTCTTGCTCTTGGCATCTCCTATGGCCACCATCTGCATTTGTGGCAGCCTCCACTCATAATTTCCAGCCTAATGTTCTACTGTCCCTACTGTCCTTCACTTCATCTGGCATGGCATTGCTAGTTTACTTTTTCTAAAACAAGGTTTTATTCTCATCACTTCTGTACACAGGGATGGATTTCAGTCCACATAGTGATTTGATGTTAACTCCACCTTCCTGCTTGAAGATCAGAGGCCTCTAATACTTGATCCATTTGTCTTAAGTTCATTCCCTCAGTGAACACATTATCAAGAGCCTCTTTCTTGGAGCTCACAAGTTCAGGGAGAAGCATAGAAATAATTATGCCGCAGCATGGTGCACTGTCGTGGTGGTGGGATGTGGGATGGGGTGGAGATGGAAGTTGAGGAGGATCCATGGAGGAGAAAATTCTGGAATTAGACATGCAGAAATGGGGAGATAAGGGGTGAGGGTAGGCATCTGCCTAAGTCTACAAAAGAGCAGGTGCTAACATTGAGGGTGAGGGACAAGGACAGATAAGTGTTGGAACAGAGGTACTGAAGAATGGCTGAAGTGTTGGTTACAAACGATGGTGGGGTTGTCCAGTAAGCATCTATAAAGTTAGAGAAGTAGGAGGGTTCTGGGCCATAGAGATCTGGGTGCAACTTTGAGAAATTTGGATTTCATCCTATAGTGCTAGGAAACCTCTGAAAGGTTTTAAGCATACAAGAAACATAATCAGATACCAAGTTTAAAAAGATCACTCTAATGCAATCTTGTGCAATGAGGCTGGAAGCAGATAGGCCACTTTGGAGGCAGCTGCAGAAGCCAAGAGAGGATCAAGGTCTTTGAAACTTTCAGTTTATAATAGACTGGTTCAAACCAAGTCAGCAGACAGGTTTGTCTTAGAGATGCCAAATTGTGACACAGGAGAACATTTGTAAGGTTTTCTGCCTTCTCTTTTCCTTATGAAAAGGAAGAGGATAAAAGTCTATAAAATGTCCTTTAGAACACACACTATTAGATATTGAGGTATATTACCAAGACCATGGTGATAATACGGTGCAATGGAAATCAGCTTTTAAACATAAGCAGAGCAAAGGAACAGAATAGAGCACAGAAAAGAAGGTGAATGGATTAGCCAAAGAACATACTCATATATGCATAACTCATAGACACAGACAACAGTGTGGTGACAACCAGGGGGATGGGGTGGGGGGGGCAGGGGCTGGGTGGAGGTGAGAAAAAGAAGGAAAATGGGGATGTCTGTAATAGTATCAATGATTTTAAAAATTAAAAAAAAAGAATGCATTGTGGATTTATGGATAGTCCCACCAGGCTGGGATGGGAAATGGCAGATTGAAGGGTAGTTTTTCTGGAGCTGCTTCTCAAACTTCCTCTGTCTCTAGGGGAGAGAGAACATCTCAGCACTTGCTTCTGGTCCCCAAATGAAGGATAAAGGGCCGGTTAATATGATTACCATGATGGCCAGGGAGCTATTTATTGGGCCACAGTTTCAAAGTGCACAATTCCTTGGTTCAGAATAAAAATCTCATCTGATTTTCCTTCTTGGGCTGAGGCCAACTGCCCAGCCTTCATGCTTTTTTACTTTCTTGGCCTCAGTCAGGCACGGCACCATTTTTTTTCCCCTTTAGTGCTAAGATTCTGAAGAATGGGCTGTCCCCTGGTTAGTTGTGACCTTAAACAAGTTAAAAAAGTAAAATTTTAGACCCCCCATGATGAACTCGATGAATAGAAAGGAAATAAAAATACAGTGGCATTTCAGCACTTGTTGTTAATTCATTCTGGAACTTGTATCAAGTGCCAAAACCAATGAGTACTGAATGTGATGAGTATGAAGCATTTTCTCTTGTGGGGCAGTGTCATGACTCATACAAGTTCTAGCATGTGCAGTGAATCCTGAGCAAGTGCCAAGTGCTGAAACATTTTTTTTCTTGTCAAAATGCAATGAGTACAGGGTTTGTTGAGTTCTGAAGCTGATGAGTACCAAGGTGTGACTGTATAAGTACTCATCTGCCAGTAACCAAATCCAGCTTATTCACCTAAACACACACACAAGCACGAACACAAATTCAAATGTTTATTGGAGCTTTGTATTTTTTCAGATAAATATATGTTATTTATGTATTTATTTTAATTTTTTGTTTCACCTTTCACTTTCTTTAGTATTTTTCCATTACCATTTATTCCCTCACACCTTCTTAAACCTCCACCCATGCCCTCTCCATACTACCATGTCCCTGAGTTCTCTCTCTTTTTTTGCTTGATTCCTCCACCTCCCCAAACCTCACCCCAGAGCTGTCAGCCTGTTCTCTATCTATGAGTCTGTCTCTGCTCCTTAGTTTAGTTTTTTTCATTAGATTCCACATATGAATAAAATCATTTGGTACTTGTCTTTCTCTGAAAACTTATTTCACTTAGCATAATGTTCTTTAGGTCCATCCATGATATCTCAAAGGGTAAATTTTCTTCTTTATGGCCAAATAGTATTCCATAGTTGTTTTATTCACTCATCTACTGACGGACACTTGAACTACCTCCAAATCTTGACTATTGTAATTAATGAGGCGATGAACATAATAGGGGTGCATGTATTCTTTGGTATTAGTGTTCAGTTATCTTTGGATAAATTCCCAGAAGTAGAGTTTCTGGGTCATAAAGCAGTCTCAGTTTTAATTTTTTGAGGTATTTCCATACTGCTTTCCACAGTGGCTGCACCAATCTGCATTCCCACCAACAGTGCACAAGTGTTCCCTTTTCTCCACATCCTTGCCAACACAAGTTGTTTGTTGATTTAATGGTGGTAGCCATTTTAAAAGGTGTGGTGATATCTCAGTGTGGTTGTAAATTGCATTTCTCTGATGATTAGTGACATTGAGCATCTTTTCATATGGCTATTGGCTATTGTATGTCCTCTTTGGAAAAGTGTCTATTCAGGTCCTTTGCCTATTTTTTAAATTGGATTTTTTTTTGGTGTTGAGTTTTATAACTTCTTTATACATTTCAGATATTAAGCTTTTGTCAGATGTATTATGAATATGTTCTCCCATTCAGTGGGTAGTCTTTTCATTTTATTGATGTTTTCCTTTCCTGTGAAAAAATGTTTTAATTTTATATAGTACCTTTTGTTTATTTTTTCTTTTGTTTCCCTTGACAAAGAGATATATCAGCAAGTATATTGCTACAGGAAGTGTCTGTGATTTTACTGCCTCTGTTTTCTTCTAGGATTTTTATGGTTTCTAGTCTAACATTTGAATCCTCAATCCATTTTGAGTTTATTCTTGTGTGTGGTGTAAGAATGTGGGCTAGTTTTATTATTTTTTTTGCAGATGTCTGTCCAAAATTTCCCACTGCTTATATTGAATAAACTATCTTTAGCCCATTCTATGTTTTTGCCTCCTCTGTCAAATATTAGTTGGCTGTAATGGCATGGGTTTATTTCTGGGTTCTTTGTTCTATTCCATTGATCTGTGTGTCTGTTTTTATACAAATACAATGCTGTTTTTATTACTAAGGCATTGTAGTATAGTTTCATGTTAGGTAGCATAATTCCTCCAGCTGTGTTCTTCTTTTTCAGGATCACTATTGCCATGTGGGGCCTTTTATGATTCCATATAAATTTTTGGAGTATTTGTTCTAGTTCTGTAAAATACACCATTGGGATCCTAATAGGTTACATTGAATCTATAGGTTGTCTTCAGTAGTATGGACATTTTAATGACATTAATTCTTCCTGTCCACACATAGTACACGCTTCCACTTATTGTCTTTTTCAATTTCTTTCTTCAGTGTCTTATACTATTTCAAGTACAGTTCTTACACATTCTTGGTTAAATTTATAACCGTGTATTTTATTCCTTTTGAAGCAATTGTGAATAGGGTTGTTTTCTTACTTCTTGATAATTCATTATTGGTATATAAAAATGCAACTGATTTCTGAATATTAATTTCCTATTCTGCTACTTTACTGAATTCGTGTATCAGTTCTTCTGTTTTTTTTTTTATGGAATCATTATGTTCTCTAAATACAATATCATGTCATCTACAAATAATGGCAGTTTTACTTCTTCCTTTCCAATTTAGATGCCTTTTACTTTTTTTCTTGTCATATTACTATGGCTAGGACTGCCAGTACTATGTGGAATAAGAGTGGTGAAAGTGGACATCCTTGTTTTGTTCCCAATCCTAAGGAAAACGCTTATAGTTTTTCCCATTGAGTATGATATTGGCTTTGAGTTTGTCATAAATGGCCTCTTTTATACATTGATGTATGTTCCTCTATTACCACTTTGCTGAAATTTTTTTGTCATAAATAGGTGCCAGATTTTATCAAATGCATTTTCTGCATCTATTGATATGATCATGTGTTTTTTATCCTTCATTTTGTTTATGTGGTATATGACATTTATTGATTTTTTAAATGTTGTTCTGACCTTGAATCCTGGAATAAATCCCTTTTGATCATGGGGCATGAACTTTTTGATGTATTGCTGTATTCATTTTGCAAATATTTTGTTGAGGATTTCAGCATCTATATTAATCATGGATATTGGCCTATAATTATTTTTTGTAGTGGCTTTCTTTGCTTTTGGAATTAAGATAATGCTAGCCTTGTAAATGAACTTGGGAACCCTG